GAAATGAAATGAAACAAAGACAACAAATAACAGAATATGTGGACAGTATATGAATTATTACTATTAGGTGATTCAGGAGCAATGGTGGATTTTGTGATGCAGTAAGTTTAAAAATATTACGAGAGTAAATTTAGAACTACGAGGTCCTAATCGAAAATTCTCTTAAACTTAAAATATGGGAATCAAAGCTTACAGACAGACACCCAGCTCTTTTTTCATGTGTGTGAATCCGGCCGTGTATCGGAGAGTCAGCCTACTTTGTAAATGGAACTTGGAAGGATTCCAGGCCCTTGACTTTCCTCCTAGCTAACTGCGGCTTTGCATCACTGATCCAACAGGCCGAAGGAAGTTGCGTCTCGTCCCTGGTACCAGTGGCAAGCTCTTCAAAAGGCCTAGCGCGTAGTTTTACGCTTGAGTGCGTTGGAGGCTGAGAGTCGCTGGATAATAATGTTTTTGTTCGGCTGGAACGTTTGTAGCAGTCAACTACTGCGACGTCCTTCTGGCTGATGATAAATAGAGTGGTTGGTCTTCAGCTTTGATTGTAAACTAATTCAGCTTCTCGTTTGAAAATAACTGGGAGATGACACGCTGGCCTCCTCCGTATGCAATAAATCCAAGAGTTAGATTAAATTCACTTTCTGGAATAAGGCGACAATACTTGATATATATATATATATATATATATATATATATATATATATATATACTATATACTATATATTATAAAAGACTACAAAAATATAAAAGAAGAAATTCGTTCGTGTTTTGAGCTTTCACAAATACAGTAAAAGTACTTTAGCACCGCAAGTTATTACTTGAGGAAAAATTCAACACGTGTCGCAAAACGAAGTAAAGTACGGAAATTAAAAGTAAGAAGGAGAGTAAATAACGAGTGGATCCCACACTCTTTAGAAGGAAGAAAATTTAAGAAGGACAGAAGAGAGCAGAAGAGAAGGAGTGACCGGTTATCCTATATTATTTTTTCTTTAGGCGGAACTGGACGAGAGGAGCTGACCGCGCGCGTCACTTCCTCTGGTGATTTCCTGTTTTGAATTAATGAACTTTAATCAACTTGTAAACACATTTCAGGGATATCTAACCCTGATTACAATCAAAAAGGCACTTAATTACACACATTCTTGTAAGAACAAGCGTTTCCCCAAAAGTGTCCTTTTTATCTGTGGAAAGAGAGTTGCAGTCATAAATAAAAAAGAGGTGGATGACCACGGTATCCCATGCGTGAATCAGCAGAGACAGGCTTCTTCCTGTCGAAGGACTGCTTGGCACGGCCATCTCATCTCCTTTCCTGGGTCAAAAAGGTCAGAGAAAGAGGCCTTTCTGAACTCTCCTGGTGGAAACATAATCAAAATAATATGATGATTGGTTGAATTAAGAGACGGATAAACATCTCTATGATACGGACGAGGACAAGGTCCTACATTTAGGTAAAAGTAAAATAACAGACTGGAAAAAATACTCAAAGTAGCCCAAAAGGGACTTAATTATAGTAACGTAAGTTGTAATTCTTTACTTCCACCACCACCATCTGATTTGTAATAACTACAGAAGTTATGTGTATAAATGATCCATGTCATGGCCGGTTAATTACAATTGCACACCAAATTTCATTAAAAACAGGGGTTGTTATTATTTGTCTTATCTGAATCTCCCTCTCAGAGAGTGGAAGTATATTAATACTAATAAGAGCTGTGTTTGGCTCAAATTCAGGGAGTTCATCTAGCTGCTCAGCATAAAGAGACACTGAAGAGGAAGAATCCAGAGAAGAATGACATGGATAATATGTGATGTGAACATTTTACATTTTAGCAGGCTCAGTAAAAACGTACACAGTTGTGTTTCAGTTGATTTATAAAAAGAAACACACAGTCAGAGTCTAAGGAGTTCTCCCCTTTATTTAGTTTATTGGGACATTTTATTTCCCATACACCACTGCAAATGTATGCACAATACATGTATGGTTCATTTCACAGCCAACACATCTTTTTTACTTCCCTTAGCTCACTTCCTTTTCTCTCTCTTTTCCTACCTCCCACATTCCCTAGGACCGGGTGGAGGTAAACGGGGTTCGTCTTAAGATCAGTAACCTGGCCCTGGAGGATTCTGGGATGTACCAGTGTGTGGCTGAGAACAAACATGGCACTATCTACTCCACTGCTGAGCTCAGAGTCCAAGGTAGGCGCCATTATTTCTCCTTATATGAAACACAATATAACATGCCAATTTAAATGTATTTTTTACTTTAAAAAGGTATATTTTTGATTTCCAAACTAGATTTCAAAGTGAAAATATCATATTATACCCAACAGAACTGTAGACCTGTCAATAAATAACATAAAGTATAAGTGGACTTTCTCTGTATGCTATGTATGCTCTCTCCTAGTTCTCATTTAACAACATTCTGACCGTGGTTTACCTATTCCTCCATCTCCCATAATCTGATTTTCTCCATCTTACTCCTCTGTCTGTCTTCCCTTCTGCATCTCATCCATCAACCACTTGGTTTTCTACCTTCTGTGCTGTTATTCTGACGCCACCCTCCCTCCCGTACTTCTAGTTCAGGCTCCAGACTTCAGGCTGAATCCAGTAAGGAAACTGATCCCAGCAGCCAGAGGGGGGCAGGTGATGATTGAGTGTCGCCCACGGGCTGCCCCGAAGCCCAGCCTGTTCTGGAGCCGTGGGACAGAGCTGCTCACTAACGGCAGCAGGTAATTTTAATTTTTATACAAAATGTTGTGTATTTTCTTCCTGTCTTGGAAAACAAATACAGGTCATTTCACCATATTTTTATCCCTCATTTCCTGCCCATGGGTATTGGCCTAAGGAATTTGTCTGCAACAAAGTTGTGCTAGGAAGTGCACAATTTTTTTGTGATGATAAAATGCAACTGCATGCAGTACATCACTTGAGATGTGGAAGACAGTTGCTCCATTTCTTCTCTATTTCTGGATATTTTCGCAACAAATGTCTCACTAATATGTAAAATTTAAAAAAGCACTAGGATCTCCATCCACATAAGGCATCATTAACTGGGGTATTTGCCTAACACCATCAGTCCAACTACCCATGCTGCACTCACAGAGTCACTATGACTTGACAACCCAGTAATGTAACCTCAATTTCTACTGCACGTGTTTGGTTCCAATCTGTAGATTGTATTGTACCATTTATGTAATCCAATACCAAAATCTAATGTGTCTGCACAAAATCTCTTGATAGTGAGATCTTTGCTTCAGTCTCACTGTTCCAGGCCAACAGTGAAAATCACACCTGCTAGCAACTTCAGATCCAAGTGATAAATCGTCGCCAAGTGCTTGCTCATGGTGGTACTGTTGGGTCTCTGTAAATGTTATAAGGAGTTCGGT